TCAGTCATTTTGTATTACAAACGGGAAATTGATGCCCCAACACCCGATTGGGCTGTCAATTTCCCATGCGTAATACAAAATGACTGAAAAACGGCAAACTTCGCAAGGCTATATTATCCACATTTTACAACATTTCGCAACGAAACTTTGGAATATTACTAATTTTGTGATGCTCTTTCAAGCTGTGATGAAATTTTGTCTAGATCAAAATTTAGACTATTACGCAAATGGTCCATTGACAAAGGTCTCCGTCAGGGTTGGTACTACGATTATAGTATTTAAAGATTAGTTTTTAATTAGGCGAAAAATCGGAGGAATAAAGCACACGAGAGAAGCAACCAAACTACAATACCACTTACTGTACAAGAGCTTTGTAGCACCGGAAAGTTACTCAATCTAAGTAAACTCCTATACCCTTCACCTGCAGTAGCAGGCTGAACTCAGAGCAGGCTTAAACCCATTTTCCACTAGGCGAATTTGTTCGCGCGAAAAACAAATCTTGGCAATGTGATTGGTCAGTGAAAAAGTTTGCCACGAAAAAGTTGGATCGGTTCCAAATTTTTTACTGTTCGCGCGAACAAATTCGCCTAGTGGAAAATGGGCTTTAGTGGGCGGCAGCGCGCTGACCGCATCAATCACTTGTGCTTCCCACGAAGAAAGGTAATGATTTTCAAAGTAATTTAAATTTGTGGATTTTTTCGAATTTCTAAAGAATTTTTAAGGACTGTTCCAAATTCTACTGGTTTTGTGACGGTGCATGCATGTACTTCGATATATCACTCTATACTTACTGTCGCAATTCAGCTTTGATATTTGCATTCACTCTCGGATAACAAGCTGGAAATAGACCACATGCTGATGTCCTGGAAGTGAACCAGTCACCTAGATGTACAAACAGTCACAGGTAATGACAATTATTAAATCATTTTTGTTCTAAGGAAATGCCTTCCATGCTTCCTTCCTAAGTATTTATTTCTCACATGCATGGCTAGCCTGTGCGCACACCATAATATATACTACTGTAATTTAGTACCATATTTTTACCAACGTTTGATATGCCAAACTTGTTTAGAAAACAAATTATCACATTGCACGCACGAAACGCTATGACATCAACCTCTAAAAGTGTCTATTATTGACGTTTAACCAAGTTGAAAGCAAAAGGTAACTGTGTGATTGAGAGACCGTGATTCAAATACTTATAAACCAAGCATGGCATGGTTACTGTGGCGCACTATGGCCGAAAGGAACAACAATTCATACCTTGAGATAATCTTTTAACTAAAGGTACAAAATGATTTTCTAAATCCTGAGAAGAATGGTCAGAAGCAATAGCACGCAGAGATTCCACTGCCTGTTGAAACAAATATACCGGTTTACAATGAGGATCTAACATGATAGAGAGGATGCTCGTACTGGGGTCTGGCGCTAGCTAGTAGTAGGTATCTTCCAGACTATAAAGTTTTGGCTTTGGAGGAAATACGCTTTCCTGTGCAAAAATCCTTGTAATAATGAAAATCTGCACAAAATTCCTCAAATTATAAAAAAAAGCAAATAATTTCTGAAGAATCTGCACAAATTGCCTTTGTAAACCTATTTGATAAAAAACGATTGGATAATATAAGGAAATAGGGAACTTGAACTACAAGTAAGGCTCGTTTCACATGGCATACTCTTCATGTGCTGAACTTTATTGTATTAGATGCGACCCTGGAGCGATGCAAGAACGACAGTGGTCCAAACGGCGTAATATAATGTATTTGACAGGGGTGAGGTGTATATTTGCGAGCTAATCCAAAATTAAATTCAAAACAAAAAATGTACTTCTGATAATATAGTGAAATGTACTACTAGATTTTATTTTTGTGGAGGTACAGGTATACAACCTTTGAATGAAACTTAGTCTACATGTATGCTGGCACAGCCACTACTTCAGGCTTAGATGATTTTCCACATGATTGTTGGAGTTGCTAGGCAGCAATTCAAGGCTTACACAGCGAGCTCCACATAGTTTTTGAAGCCACTAACTCCAGGTTTTGATACCTACAATCTTGGCAAAAATTCCGCGGACACTGAGGTGTAAACTAAAGTATTACTGTTGGCATACACTTGTTGGCGTCTTTGTCTCCTCCCTTACAATGTTGGTCTTGACATGTACTGAGTTTCGCAAAGCTTTCACCTAACCAATGTATAAGCTTTCAACATTGAACCGGGGGGAGGGGGGAGTTAAACATTGCTGTTTTGCATGTATATATTGGCCAAGGATGGTATTTCTATTTCCGCGCACGCTGTCCACAATAATTTTTGCCAAGATTGTAGCTGTACACAATTTTCGGAGCTATTAGCCAGTAACTCTAGGAACACCACCCTTTGCCTTCACATGAGTTGCTCCATGGTTCCCTAACTTTGGCAACTATGAAACTCAAAGAAGGTGGGGGTCATTTCCTCCATATAGGTGTGGATGTTTTCTGCAATGACCCATTTCAATACGGTGAAAAATCACGATTTTTCAAATAACTTTCCATAAATATAAAACCAACATATTTCTGAAGGTAAAATTCTGCGTTTTAAAATATTGCGTTCATACATGCATAAAACTATTAAATTAGTCACATAACAAGACAGGGTCTTAGCTAGGATTTTAGATCTTGGGCGTGTTTCTAAATGACCAGGGTGTGCATATTTGTAGTTATGCTCGCCAACAACAGACAATGCCTGCATGTGGTTGTTGTATGCTTTGCAACCAAATACAAGGCTAGCTCACATTGCGTACTGACATTAAAATATTAAGTTATTTCAGTAAATCTTGGGGGTATTTAAAACCATTTTAATACCATATGGTTCCCATTATCCATCAAAACATTAAAATATAAAGGATCACTTTTTCCAATTTCAACAACTACAGTAGATTTTACAAACTTTCTTACGACGTAAATAAGAAGAAATTCTGTCTGTTGTCAGTAGCAACACCTTATTTTATGAACCTACACGGCCTTATATAAATATAGTGAAGCTGCGTTCATTTTTAATATCTAGCCATGTTTTTCTATTTTTGGCCGCGATAACACGGCCAACACGGCCCTCTAGCTAAGACCCTGTAACAAGGTAGAATATTACAGTTTAATGTTTGTTCGTTCACGGCAACTTCGTGCTCGCTACTCTGGTTTATATATAAATGAATACAGAGCCCAGTCGAATTGTAATCAAGACCCAACGTTTCAACACTCCAGTCTAGTGTCTTCATCAGGGGTGCATATAAATGACTAATCATGCTTTGAACAGGGATGACGGTGCCTATTTGCCAAAGGAATACGTGCATCTTATTGGCAGATGACGTCATCCCGTGGGTATTTAAGAAGCCCCATTGCAACTTTAGATCACCCCTGATGAAGAGTGAAGACACTATATAGACTGGAGTGTCGAAACGTTGGGTCTTGATTACAATTCGACTGGGTTCTGTATTCATTTATACAGAGCAGTGAGCGAAAACATGATATTACAGTTTTCTGTTAAGCAATATACAGTACAGTAAGTTTTAAAAATCAATTTTCAAAAAAATAAAACACCATTCAGTATGCTCTCTCTTATGTTATAAATCCATCCCTACTATTATTAAGCAGATTAAGATCATTGTGATACCTTAGTGCAAGTTGCCTACTGGCACCCTTGTACTATTACTAAGGTAGTATGCACCCTTTCCCAGTATAACTGTAATCCGTGCAGGTTAAAAGTACCTCAAAGTGATGTAACACAGAATAATTTTCAATGATGATTTGTAATGCAAATGATGTTAGCCAAAATTTGATTGGTTCAAACTGTTATTGAAAATTGGACTGTGTAACACCACCTTTATTAAATTAAGTTGGCTTTAACAGCAGCATCAAAAAAATAAAACTTTAGGCAAATGAAAATATACTCATGTACCAAACGAATGTAACACTGTTTTGTCTGTGATAGTTTACCTTATCCCTGACAACTGTTTCTTCTACTGTGGCCAAGCTCTCTAATGGAGGCTAAATTTTCAAGATAAGATGCATAAGAAATGTTTGTTTGCCAGAATAAGAAAATAGTGTGTCATAGTAGAACAACCTTGTTTCCTTATCCCAATCCTCACGCCATTCTAAGATCACTGTACATTTTTGAATTATTGATTGGAAAATAACAAAAAGTATAAAAGATGGACTACAAGGCTTGCTTTACACGCAAAAGCACTGTCTTTTGATAATTTACTCTGTATTAAGTCAGATGAATTTATTTATCGAGTGGGATCACACAAAAACATTTTACACAGTCATATTTCTATCAATTTCTGAACATCTACACAGAAAGTCTCTGTAATAACAATGACATTAACAATACAGTATATGATGAATGACAAAATAGTTGTCTTTAAAAGAGGTTTTCACAATGACATACTTTGACATAAGAAATGTCAATAACAATTGACTAGCGTTATTGACTAGCGTTATTGACTAGCATGTAACCATGCATCTTAAGTCTTGACTCAACACTTGTACATGGTTCATGTGCTGCCTTGCTATGACTTCAGATGTATAAAATATTAGAAAACATACCAGTAAACAATGTACAAATTCTGGTCCTCCAACAAGAGGAGTAAATGTGCCAAGCTGTAGATTAAAGAGATAATGATTGTCAAGACTACAGTACTCGCTCAGAAATAACCTAACAGAAAATGTGTTCGTCAATGTGTTCCGCTTTTACCGAAACACACTCTAGCTCACTGATCTAATAATAGTTACACTCATAATGAAACCAGTCATCATCGGATCAATCGCAAATTCGCGATTTCACAAGTATTAATTAGCGTCACTTTCACATTTTTGTTTACACTGAGAGCTATGGGGAAACTTTGAGAATATGCGAGAAAAAGAATAATTTCTTCACGATCAAGTGGAATGAAACAGACAAAAATAAAAGAATCACTTGATCAATTTTATAATTGCTTTCCAGTAATGATCACGAATCAAAATAATCTAATTACACATCACATGTAATCAAAACTCTGAGACAAACAAAACACAGATTTCATCTAAATCCATCAGGCAAAACTAGGCTATTGAATTTGGTTCTGAAAGTCAAAGATGTAGTCAAAAATATCACAGTCACTACTATTTGGACTAATTGTAAATACTTATAATCATGTGTAATGCCTAATGATTTAAATATGCATAAAACCCAATACAAGCCAACAATTTAAAATAAAACTGTAGCAAGTATGATGTGGCCATGGGCAGGAATTATTCATGAGCAGAAATTATTCATGAGCAGTTTGAGCTGCCTGAATTTTAGTCAGAGCTATTTTCAGCCTGTGCACAGACCTTTCTAGCCTGGGTTGAAATGATTTGAAGCATTTTCGGCTATTTGACTTGTGTGAGACTGAGGTTACATATACAGATGAAACAAACATGCAAAACAAAACCATTTAAACAAGTTTTTAAGGTGGTCATTCCCCTTTAGAGCATTTTTTTTCATTTTAAAAGGCACAGAGTCAGCAAAAATATTTTTTGAAGGGGCACAGTGATAAAAATCAAAATCTGGAAAAAAATTTTTGGTTACTCATTAATTACACTAATTATCCAATATGGCAGCTCACTAATTAGCCAAAAAATGGCGTCGCATGACACATGATAACACAGACACTGTTAATCAGAATGACATAAATGACACATATTTTGAAAGCTCATAACATTATCTAGGGCCTGACCATCTTTATTTTCACTTTAAAGCATATTTATCAGAAATTTGGTAAACAGTCTGCACATTAGGGAAAAAAGGAATTTTTTCATACCTAATTAGGTAATTAAACCTCATTTATACATTCCTAATGAAATATATGGTCAGGCTCTGCAACCCTCGAAATTCAACAATTTTTGCCTCGGCAAATAATTGCCGAAGCCTTTCGATAATTTTCGAGTTTGCCTCGGCAATTTTTTTTGCCGAGGCACGCAATGAAATCACCTTAAATTCCTTCGGCAATTGCTTCGGCATCCTTCGGCATTCATGTCAGCAGTTGTAATTAAAGTAAAGTACATACCGAAATTATTGTAAACAAATATTATAACGAGCGTAGATTCTGAGACTTCGACAATTTGTTGTTATTTTACAAATTCCTGATTCAAAATGTTTTTAAAAAGTTAGTGGTAATTTACAACCAATTGCATGAAAGAATAAACTTGACGGTAAAATCACGCAACAGTCTAAAAGATAAAACAAAGTTTCTTGACGTACCGTCTTTAAACCATCAAGATTGTTCTTTATTTCAACCGAAGCCCGCCGCGACGCTGAAAAGCTCAAATTTAAATATTTTGTAAAGTAGCTATGAAATCTTCTGTTGTTCACCCGACGTCGATGACAACAATTCGAACAAAGAAGTGATACAAAAAACGAACACTGTAGTTTGTATATTTAAGAAGAAAAAAACGAACAGACACTGTCGTTTGTAATTTAAGGAACAGCGGGTGGAATTGCCTCGGCATTTTTTTGCCGAGGCAAACTATGAAAAATCGTAACTTGCCTTGGCATTTGCGTCGGCAATTGCCGAGTGCCGAGGCGAATTTCGGGAGTTGCTCTGCATAATGTTAATAGCCATAAACATACCAAGTTTCAACCTTTTACACTTAATATTCAGAAAGATACATATGCTGTCACAAAGATTAAATGGATTGAAAAAACTGCCAAATTGAGAAAATAGCATTTTAAACTATTTGCAATCATATGCTGCCCGGAGTAGAGTTTCAGTCCGGGTCAAACTGGGCAAAGTGTCTGGCCACTTACATAGTGGTGGGATTGTGTTGTCTTCATCAAGTTCTTGATTATTGTTTCATTCAAAATACATAACACCAAGTATAATAGTGCTTTTATAATCAATCACATACTGTACAGTATATTATATTTTTCACAAAAAATACCTGTTCTGCCAATGCAAGTAGAACTTCATCTTCATCATAAATAGTATCTATAGGAAAGTAAATATTTCATAAATGATGTTTTGGAATATATACTCCAGGGTCCGAATTAAAGCTTCGCAAATCGCAAAATGCGAAGCGATTTTGAATATTGCCTTCTAAAAGTTGCGAAGCTTCTTTACAGTAGTAACGCTTGATATCCAGCTTTCTTCCGTTTCACTCGAGTGTCTCAGACATTCGTGTGGAGCATCTCAATTTGGAGTTCTGCGCACATGCTTCAGACCAAAGTGCTGGGACGTGTTAGGTTGATATCACCTCTATCAACTCTCGAGTTGAAAAATAGCATTTCAAGTTCAACGGTGAGAACGACAGTTCATTGTTTGTTTAGCCATTTGCTTCACTGTTCATTTAATTTTAAAGAAGATAGAAATCATGGAATTTTAGGCGATGTATACCTGTAACAAGGATAAAAGATGTGCATATAATTGGTAATCGCGGGAGCACATGCCCAATTGACAATTGTGAAGTACCCCTAAAGGCAGTCTATACTGTATAAATACAGCAATTCATTGACTTTACCATGAATGTTTTTACAAATGTGTGAGCATGCATATTTTTAGAATTTTCAATTTTAATGCCAAAGCGTTTGATTTTTAGCAGAATGTAGGGCTTTATCCAGCGTGAAATTATTGCAATCAGCATGCAATCATGTTCGAAATGCCTTAACAAAATCATTGCATGCGTCGCATTCCTTTTCGGCTTTTTGTAATGCTCAAAAAAATCCGGGGTGGGGCGGGAGGGTGGTCCTAAAATGTGTATTTTAACATGGAAATTTTTCCCAAAAAAAAGCGAAGCTGTTTTTTAGCGATAATTCGGACCCTGACTATTCAGATGTTGATCAAATCATGTGTAAATCACAGTTTTCTTCGAAGAAAAAAAACACTAAAGAAATATGTAGACATATTTCTAGCTTGTCCAAAATCCAAAGTAACAATAAAATTAAAGTTTTATTACAGTAATTTGAAAAATGCCGTGGAAACTGCCAAAATTGCCGTAGACAGCTGTTACGTTCTACGGCAATTTTTAAAGTCATTGCCGTCAATTGATTTCAGGGAAATTCGAGGCCTGATGGATATACATCCTTCACACCACTGGCACTGACCGTTCAAGATTATATATCAGTAAATTATATTAATTTAAGTATAATATATTTTTTATCCATTGCAAATTATAAGCATTATACTGTATATCGCAAATCACAGGCATTATACTGTACATCATAGGCATTATATTGTACATACATTACAGCAGGGGTCTGGGGCACAGTGGGGGCAAGGATGGGGCTGGATAAGTGGGGCAAGGCCCCCTGGAAATTTTGAGATTTTTGGTCGTATTTAGTTCAAAATACTTGTTTTTAGTCTTATTTAGTTCAAAATACTTATTTCTGGATGAATTTTCTGGGTGGGAGAACTTTGGGGGGGGGGGGTCCCAGGAGAGATTGAAAGTTATTATGATTAGCACTTGTAAACTCACAAGCAATACTGGTACTTTGATATACTACTTCAGCATTAAATTTGATACATAAAAAAACTAAGAAAAATACTCATATGACTCATATTTTTTCTTAACTCAGTCCGACTTTTTCTTGGCTACAGTCCAGTAAACAGGTTGCTAGGTCCATATGGGAAATTTTCACCCTGTCTACAAGCTGTCACAAGTTCATGAATGTGATTACACCTTTACCTTCCCACAATATTGCTGACCATTTAACACTACAGTATCTAGACTCACAATTTATCCATAACAGGCAAATGCATTTAACACAATAATAGATTGTTTATTTATAATACTTTTTGTTTGTGGAAACACCATGTAAATTTATTACTGCAAAGTTTCGATCCGTAAGCCCGGATCTTCATCAGTGTAATAATATTAGCACCGATGAAGATCCGGGCTTACGGATCAAAAGCTTTGCAGTAACAAATTTACATGGTGTTTCCACAAACAAAAAGTATTATATGTTTTAATGCCATGCAATCCTACACAGTGGTGGATTTAGGGGAGGGGTGCAGGGGGGTGCACACCCCCTCAGGCTCTGGTCAACAGGGGTGCATGGGGGGGGGGTGCAAAAATGACGTTTATCCTAATTCTAACCAACTTATGTTAAGGAATTCAGTTGGGTATGACTAGTTGACAATAGCGGAATAGCCAATATTAAATATTCTGAATTTTGAAATGTTTTGACAATCTAAAAATTTTCCAGAATGTTTTCTCAGAATGCTGGAAATGCCATTACAGAGACCCAAATTTTAAAATTTTTCCGGGGAGTATACTACTCCTCCAGAAAATTTTTCCGGGGGAGTATGCTACTACATACTCCCCCGGACCCCCCATAGAAATCTCGCGCCTTTGGCGCCCGTTTGGCCATTGGTTAGCACCCCCCCCCCAAAAAAAACTTTGCTGGATCCACCACTGATCCTACATGCAAAGAATATCGATTGTTTATTTGTTTCCATTTTGGTCATCATCAGCCAGCTACTATGCACCTTATTTTACAGTTTATCTGCCACAAAACCTGCCACATTAGCAATTTTTTGTGCTGCAAAATTCTGCCACAACAGCAATTTTTGGCATTAAAGTGCCTTCAGTGTGTGGGAGCCGGGATCTGGGCAATTGGGCCGGCCTGAGACCTCATGTGACTGTAAAATTTTATAGTCGAGATTGTAGGTAAGTGGGATGTCTTGGTAAACAACTCTTATGAACAGGCCCAGTACATAATTTGTCATTATTTGTTAGACAGGCATATATGTATGTTCATCTTTGTATAATAATGTGATTTACGCAGTATATAAATAACTTGGGGCACATACACGATATTTTAGTGATGTTAATACAATGATATAAAATTTGAACTCAAAGTTATACTGATGAAAAACAATATAAAGTTCTGCCCAAAATCTGTCACACAATAGTTTTACATTTGGTTGACGACCAAAATAAACAAATACAGTACGAAATATAAAGTAACACTGAAATAAAACTATACCTGTAAGAAATGGAATAAGTTCAGTTCGTGTTCGTTCAACGCCAAGAGCCAAAGCAATAGTGGATAGTTTTCTGATAGAATTCAGTCGCAGCTGCGAAGATTCAAGTTACAAAATTCGGTTATTTGTACTAACATTAACGGCAAAAATATAGAGATAAATAACGTATATTGCTGCATTAATTAACCTCAGATAAAAGGAGAAAGTCTTTTATAAATACCTGAACATCTTCGTTCCGTAATTCATCGATAAGAACGGCAATAGGATACAAGGAATCATCACCAGCATTGGAAGCCATTTTGCAAGCGTATCTGACAAGATGTCTCGGATTGAAGCAGGACCAACATTCTTTGCGGCCGCCGTTCAAAACTGATCTGCAAATGCACTGGACCGTTAATGCCCTGTGGAGTGTGGATCCTTTTCGTTGAACGCCGGTGTTTTTCAGCGCTTTCATTGCAGCGAGTTTCGCAGCGTTTCCATACAATTTTGTCAACTTTGCACGAAACGGTGGTACTCGTGGAGTTTTATTATTTCTCTATTGCTCAGCTTCAACTGTTTGTGAGACAAGCGCGATTTATTTGATTTCTAGAACCCTACGTACTGTATTTTAACCCCCCCCCCCCCCCCCACCCCCACCCCACCACCACCACCACCACCAAAACGATCTCCTCTGATTTGGAAGAATTACAAAGTCGTCAAGGTAAAAAGTGGGGCGGAACCCCCATTACCGGATCACCCCCTCCCCCATGGCCTCGCTGCGGTAACAATCGGTAAACGTGGTTAGCAAAAGTCAGTTCAGTCTTAAAAATATGGCTGATTTGTTCATCAGTTCAATGAGTTCATGCATGTTAATCTCGTAAAATACGAAGTCCCTGACGAACATCCATGCCAATATTCAACTGATATTAATGAAATGTTAGAGGGACCATATTACCATAAATCGTTCTTATACTGATCCCGAACAACATGTGGAACTTCTGAAATCCCGAATTCTGCCTTTTTCTTCATCCCGTTTTCTTGACCACGGGCTCGGAGATACGTTATCAAACAAAACATAACGTGGAACTGTTGATTTAATGAGCGAGAATTTAGCACTTTGTACTTTGGTAATTCAGTATTTTCTTATTCTGTCCTGTTATTCATAAAAATGATGTTACAGTAATTACTACCTAAATACAATTCCTTATCACTGACACTGATATGAAAATTGCACTAAATTCAGAGAATGGTATCTGGTCTACTCTTCATGTGAGCAGCAACATTAGGCTCATTCAGTATACGTTGATAGAGAGAGGTAGCCATTGGAAAACTTTCAAACTGTGATGGAACCTCAGCCTTTCCTCCGGCCACATAATCATTGAATGTACAAAAGAATGCAATGTCAGCATATGTCATCTGAAAAAGAAGAACCACGCATAAAAAATATTGAGACCACTTAGTTTCATCAGTTGCAATATGCATATAGATATAGGTTTCACTAAACACATGACTAAAATACAAGGTGTCCTAAAAATACCCCTACTATTTTGTAGTATTAATACATTAAAGTTGAGGTTTTGATACTGGATGTCTGGATCATATAGACACTATACATTGATATTTCATGTATTAAATGTATATAGTTATATTGTAGTAAGAAGGAAGCAGCAGCACTAGATCGGCCAGGAATTTGCTTTTTTTTCTCATCATTTTTGTCATTCATGGGAATTTTCCTTTCTCTGGCCGGGCGTCTACCTCATTTTGATGAACATTATTAAAACGAGATTTTGATGTTTTAGGAAGCATTTGCAAATAATCAGTTTTTTCTTAGCAGCCCACCTTGTCTCCTACAAAAAATCCTGTTCCATTGCATTTCAAAATTGATTCGAAGTACGCAAGTTCTCGAGGCAAAATGTTTTCAAACCAGTTTTTTCTTGCTTTCTCCTGCAAACGAAATAAATTTTTTGTCATTGATGAGTGATTGAATCTGAATGGCATGACAACTTGAGTATTAAGCTTTATAGAACTATTGAGTCTATTGAAGTAGAATAAAAATCCCAAAATTCAATGGATAAACTCTCGTTCTAAATTTGAAAATAAAATTAAAAATAATTTTACAGCAATTGTTACCGTTACTTACTTACTTATACTCGCAAGTGATGAACCAGGCGGGAATTGTAACTTAATTTAATTTTATTATACTGTTACCGTCACTGTTACTGTTACTGTTACTGTTACTGTTGCTGTTATACTGTTACTGTTACTGTTATACTGTTACTGTTATACTGTTACTGTTATACTGTTATACTGTTACTGCTGCTGTTACTGTTGCCGTTGCTGTTGCTGTTGCTGTTACTGTTACTGTTACCGTTACTGCATGTTACTGTTATTGTTACTGCTACTGTTACTGTTATACTGTTATACTGTTACTGTTACTGTTACTGTTACTGTTGCTGTTACTGTTGCCGTTGCTGTTGCTGTTGCTGTTACTGTTACCGTTACTGCATGTTACTGTTATTGTTACTGCTACTGTTACTGTTATACTGTTATACTGTTACTGTTACTGTTACTGTTACTGTTGCTGTTACTGTTGCCGTTGCTGTTGCTGTTGCTGTTACTGTTACCGTTACTGCATGTTACTGTTATTGTTACTGCTACTGTTACTGTTATACTGTTATACTGTTACTGTTACTGTTACTGTTACTGTTGCTGTTACTGTTGCCGTTGCTGTTGCTGTTGCTGTTACTGTTACCGTTACTGCATGTTACTGTTATTGTTACTGCTACTGTTACTGTTATACTGTTATACTGTTACTGTTACTGTTACTGTTACTGTTGCTGTTACTGTTGCCGTTGCTGTTGCTGTTGCTGTTACTGTTACCGTTACTGCATGTTACTGTTATTGTTACTGCTACTGTTACTGTTATACTGTTATACTGTTACTGTTACTGTTACTGTTACTGTTGCTGTTACTGTTGCCGTTGCTGTTGCTGTT